AATAATAAATTATTTGTCAAAAACGGAAATAGAAGATAATTTTCTAACGGACGGAAAAAGAAAGTTTGAGGATTATATCGGGAGGGGAGGAGTGCTACCTACTATTTTTGGTATCCAAAGCTTCCAATAAAGCTACTACTAATAATAATTAAAAAAAATTGATACACTGGTTTGATTATACACTAGTCAATTAACTCGTGCGTTGCACGGGTAAACCTGTTCACGAAGTAACTTATTAATTGTTTTTTTATAGACACTAAATAAGGGTTGATTTGCACATTTTTTTTATTAGTTCGAGGACTTATTTGTACTTTTCCCAAACAAAAATCCTTTCACAAGCTCTAGATGTATGGGTGTACGCATCTCTCAAATCACACCAATCATAAGTAACAATTTCCATTCCCTAACATTCCAATTCAAGGTCAATGAATTAGTACAATAAAAGCCTTTAATTAATGAATAATGAGAGTCCTTTATAGTCGGGTTGAGAGTCTCCTAAACGTTTTATGTGCCTTTTGGCTTTTTGGATGCACTTAGTACGTTGTTTGTTAAAATTAAAATATAGAAGTCTTTTTTAATACTGCCAACTTTGACTTAAGACACTTTTTTTAATAAAGTGGAATAAAGTGAAAGGTTTGGTTGATTGGTTGTAGTTGACTAAAAAGTTAAATGAATGTAGCCACACTAACCTTTCCCAAATCTGTAAATGGAAAGAATTGTTTAAGACATCCCAAAATTGTAGGCGAGAAGAATTTTTTTGGGACGAAGGAGAAATACCTATCAAATATAACGATTAAAATAAAATATTTATAAAAAAAAAAGCTGGAAATTGGAATTTATACCTATCAAACACATAACGATAAAAATAAAAAAATTATAATTTCAACTTGTAAAAAAGTCAGTTTCACTTTACGGGATTGGTTTATTCAAAAAATCGTAAACAATAAGCATAACCCTTTTCTGACCCCAAGAAAACTACGCTAAAAAACACAATTAAAGTGCAAATTCCACCAGCTATGCACGCCAAATCCATTCTCTTTTCCTTTCTCCGCTTCATTTCCCTCCATTGCTTCTTACACACTACAAAAGTTTTATACCTTTCCTTTTCTTCCCCTTCTTCTCTCTTCTTTCTTAAGCTTTCCATGGCTTCTCCTAAAATTACCATACTGTCCTTCCCGTTCAAAACCTTCCCTTCCACGTCCTCCACCTGCATGCTCGCATCCCGCACGTACAACTCCCCTCCTTCCTTTCCCTCGCAAATGACTACCACACTGCACTGTACCGGATCCCCACCGTCTCCACCGCCGTCCACGACCGTGGCGAATCGAATCTTCATCTCTCCGGTCAGCCAGTGCCGCCGGAAGTTGACGGGCTTCAGGCTAGATACGTTCACGGCGCGTTTACTCGACGGGTCTATGAGAATCCAGCTCAGCTTCAAGTGCTCTTCCAGGTGGGCCACACACTTTCCGTCGTCGCCGTCGAACTTCACCGGCATGCGCACCACCGTCCCTTTCATGTTGAGAAGGTCAACTCTGAACGGAGAGGACAAGAACCAACTCGACACCGTCTCGGAAACGGTAACTTTCGAGTATATCAATCCTCCGCCGTAGAATATATCTACGGCGGAAATGAGCTCCGTAGTCCCCTGACCAGATTCCGGTCGGGGGACACGGTGATGAATTGTAGGGAATGAGTCGGAAAATAAAGAACGGTGACCGGAAGGGAGGGCGGAGATGGCGTCACGGACGATCGGGTTGGTGGTTGACGGCCAACTCGAGTCGCATATCCGGCGCCAGAGATTCTCCTCGGAGCAAAGCGTGCGTAGTTGAGAAAAGGCGCAGCCGGCGGAGGCGAGCGTTGGGCCGTCAAGCCGGGTCAATATGTGGGTTTCAATTATCTCGGGAGGGACGGCGGTGATCGGCGTCCCTTCCGCCGGGCCGGTGGTGGTGGTGGGGAAGGACATCATTGGGACAAGAGGATAAGAGTTATTATAGTACGTACCTAGTAGAATGAATGTTATCAGGGTTTTGGAGTTGGGAGTGTTTAAATAGGGATGATATGGTCAACGGATGAGAAGAAGTCAAAGCCGGCATGGCGGCATGTAGGAAAACGGGAGTAAATAAAAAGCAGCAGTCCAAAATAAATGCACACGTTTGACTGTTATGGACACGTCTAACGAAAATTTCGGAGTACCATGGAAATTTGGGAGTAATTTCTATAATACTCATAAGTACCATACCTTTGTCCACATAGACCAATGAAAAGGTAGCAGTTGAATTATTTAAATCTAAATTAAAATTTATAAAGTGATGTGGTCCAATCAAATGAATGCTAGGTACGGTACCCCTATTTTTAGAAAGGTACCGGAATTATCACCCGATAAATAAAGCTTGCTCCATTCAGTCCATTGCTTTCCTTTAAGAAGAGTCACGCTGGCAACGCATACTTTTTCTTTTATGATAAATTTTGTGAGGTCAGAGTCAAACTAATTAGTCGATTCGTATGTAGAAGATAACTTCGTCCTATCATTACTTCTACCTACACGATCCATCCTACCTTGTTCGTTGTCACTCCCAATTAGCTTCATAGCTTAGTTAATTGAGGGATGGAAGAGTTAGAGATGGACGAGCAATGATGATCAGCGGCCGCGTGTAGATTACTATATGTTGGGGCTGGGTTAGATCTCTAACGCGCACGAGTACAAAATCTATCGTTATTGGATTGATTGAGTTACCGTGACTTACAACCAGTGGCGGACCCAGAAAAATAGAGTCACGGAGTCCCTACTCTAATGTTACTCTAGTTTAATATAAAATTTAAAGAATAACATGATAAACAAAATGCAACATCGTCTTAAAAGAGAAATAACGTGATAAACAAAATGTAGCATCTGAAAACTCATTCTCCAAAAAAAATAACATGGTAAAGAAATAAGAGCATATTTGGCAATACTTTTTTCAACCATTTATGTTCATCAAACTAACTTGAAAAAAATCTACATCTTTTGCACTCCATTATCTTAAAAAGGAAATCATTATCCCGAGGGTGAAACAACCCTTCTTGAAGGTAACTGTGGCGCACCTCGTCTTGAACATTAGGATGAAAATCAACAATTTCCCCCCCGGCCTCAATCTATGATGAGCTTTGAAAGATTCAAAATCAACATGTTGTTTATGTAGATTTTATGCCAAATTACTTTGACTTTCAGCAATTACTTGATTCAATTCTTCATTTACTAATGGCAAATCATTTGAATTAACATCTGAACTACACATGGTACTCCAAAATCTTTTAAATCTGGGTACACTATCGAAACATATATTCATTCTAAATCATAAAATATTGGATAAAAAACATTCCTAAGTATACAAAAACAAAAGAAAAATCTGTAAATAGGACTAAAATATGGATAAAGTTCAAAAATAGGACTATAAATGTTTTAATGCAAAAGTAGGAATCATTCACTCTTATTTTGGGAAGCTTTAATCAATTTATTCTTTTAATAGTGTTGAATAAGTCTTATTTAGGAAATACGGTAGTATACCATATTTAGTCACATTTTTGAACGATGTATATCAGTATATGTTTTAGTCCTATATTGAGCAATTTCTATTTAATCTTAATATTCAAAAAAAGTTTAATAACTAATCCCCAAAAATGAAGTGTGTAAAGGATAAACAATAAAATATGGGAATTGAAAAACCAATAAAAGTTAAAAATGAAATATGGAAAGTTAAAACAAACAAAAAAAGGGTAGAGGGAGTCGAACCCTGAACCTCTTCAACAAGAAACGCTTCTCTATCAGTTGTACTCTCATTCCGCTGCACAAGCCTTTTGTTTCAAGTGTAGCTTTCGTTATTTATATACATTGATTAATTAATTTTATATGAAATAAATATAATATATATATATATGTATTTTTTTGGAGGTGCACGGGGTCCCGGGACCCTGTGGGACCCTTAGTGGGTCCGCCGCTGCTTACAACTGATGATGGAATCAGAAATTCCAGTTATTGGGGGCACTTTGAGAATGTGTTTGTATAAAAATTGCTTATATTCCTTCAATGGACATAAGCAAATATTTTGGGGAAAGTACAGAGGTAGAAGTATATTTTGAGAAGTTGAGGGAGCCCAACGTCTGAAAAAGTAATTATGATTATGCTTTTGCTGTAAAAAAAAAAATAGAAGAAAAAATCATTTCCTAATATCCCCTAATAATTCATCTCTAATTGATTGTCTTTCTTGGGTTTGCACGGTTATCAATTAGAAAAATTTCCACTAATATTACTTTTAAAAAGTGGCGAACAAAAATGTGATTTAATAACTTTTAGTGCCTATAATTGGGTTCAAAGTTACTATGATGTAGTGATTATGATATAAACTTTGAATGCAACCATAACACTAATAGTTACTAAGTCACTTTTAAAATACTTTACCTAGTCTTAAAGTTAGTCCCTAATTAACCACGTCTAAACTAAATATATTTAAAAAAAATCAATCAAAGAACTTGGTATAACTCTTTTTTATGACAAGTGATTTGTGATCACAGAATGTTAAATAAGTGACATATAAACTCTAAAATAGATTTAAAAAGTAGTAGTGGTGAAAATTTAATGGGGCATATAAACTTTTTAATGGGGGCACCAAGTAAAAATTGTAAATACTATAGTCTATAGGCCTAAATCAAATTTTATTGCGGACATGTGCCCCATTGACCAAAAGGTGTATCCACTTATAAGTTACTCCGTAAAACTTCTCAGATGTTTTGTGAGATTAAGGTGTGGGCTCTTGGAGTTTGGGGATGAGATTGTTCAAAGTCAGTTCTAATATTATCTTTCTATTTCCCCTTAAGAAAACACTTTAATGGTTCATACTTCATATCGTTTCTTTCTAACATTAAACAAATTTCCACCATCTAATTCCCTTATCCCCCCATTATTAAAAACTGTCCCGAGTCAAATGTACAAAAAATTACATGTGTATATAAATATTATCACATGCATGCATCGTTTGATTCTTATAAAGTTGTTTTATTGCATTTTTCACGAGTCAAAAACAAAAACAACAGCAAGACCAAATAAGTTTTTCTCATCCAATATGGTGAAGTATTTCCATCACGCACGACCTACAAGTTATGTGTGGGCGCGACATACACCATAGAAAATCCAACTATATTTCCCCGAGATTGTGTTAAGGTAATAAATAGAACCCCCCAAAACAAACCCAATGTTTACAGTACACAATACTAAAGTCCAAGCTTTTGGTAATCAAATGCTCCCCACACTAAAATTAAAGGAACTCTGCAGTGATGAAAATTGAACGATGCAAAAGCTTCAAGCTTGCACAATGGATCCCATGAGGATTAAGGATTAGAAGAAATATTTTTTCTAATCCCACATTGATGGTCCACCCAGTCCAACTTCATCAACTGCTGTTAACAATTGCAGTGAAGTGGGCCCATTACTTTGTTTGTTGTTCTGCCTTTTCTTCTTGGCGTGACTAACTGATCCCACAGTTTCATCAACACTCTGACCAACTCCAGGATTATCACTACCAAAGGAATTAGCTGATGCATCATCTGTAAAAAGATTCATAAAAGGTGTCTCTCCATCATCAAATGCCGGTGTTTTGGGCTTCGAGGTTTTCCGGGTTCCAATTACACTGTCATTGTTAATAATCCTTCTATTCTCTAACTGATCCATCTCATGATCAGAAGCTTCCTCTACAACTGAATTCTTTTTATTCTCATGCTTTGATTCTCTTTTCTGCTTTTTAGGCTTTGATTCTTTCACATCACAACCACCAGCATTTTCGCTTTGAGAAGAGTGTTTTCGAGAGTTGTTTCTTGGAAGACTTATCGTTTCCACATTCTGAACTATGTCAACATCATGAGAGGTATTGGCTCTTCCCATTTCTCCCTTCAAGATTTTGCTAATGGGTTTGGCATTAAAAACCACCATATTCGGCACTAGTTTCTGAATCTGCTAAAATACATACTCATGAGCACATTGCAAGCTCTACACATACAAATCACATAAAATGTGCAGAACTTACCTTCTTCACCAGGCCGTCCTTTTCAGCAATAGGATTCCCGAGAAGATTTAAATTTTTCAGGTTAGTTAGTGAAGAGAGAACCTATGATCAAATGTAGTCAGAATAATGAGGAATAATCAGAGTTAGATATCAATAATAACATTTGAGTAAGGTACATTCTTTAATTTTTAGTCAACTCAATCAAGGTACCAGCTTTTAGAAGTTATGAATGGCCACTTAATTACACTCCAAAAACTTAGTTCTAAGACTATTTGGTATTATTGGGTTCACAAGAATATCACTTCAAAATTATGGGTACCTTGCGTTCTTAAAACAGGAAGTTCTTTGGGGACACAGTAATATTGGGGGGATGAAGAAACTGCAATCTACAATCTAAAATAAAATGCCTACCTTAAGATCAGACCATCTCAGGATCGCATTATTTCCCAAGTCCAAGTTTTGCAATTTGTTATTGCAAGCCAACTCACTTGGAAGTGTCTGGAAATTGAAGATCGTATGTTATTGCTAGGATGGTGAGTAAGATGAGTCAAATCAGTCAATGGAAAAGCATAATTGATTAAGTTAGAAAAAACCGTGATCTCATTATGAGAGAGTCTCAATTCTTTTAACTCGGTGCAAGATTTGAGCGAAGAGCCAATAAGTTGCAGCTGGCAGTTTGAAAGGGACAACTGCAATAATAGCTGGCACTTAGGAAACAGATGCACAGAATAAGGTAATGAATTTTAGTGATCAATAAAATAGAAAACTGCTTACTTTTGATACTGAATTCCTTTTAGCAAGTGATAGACCTATATCTCGTATTGGATTCCTTGAAAGAACTGCAGAATGATGCCAAAATGCAAGTACACGAGTTCAATATTTTCACCTTATAAGGAAAAGGCAATAGAGAGAGCGATTAACATCTTTTTGAAGACCTAAAAATAGTTTAGATTTTTCAAGATATCAATCGCAAACCAAAAAAAAATCCCAAGCATTGAAGCAAGTAATTTGAATATGAACTGCAGTACAAAATAATTCGTAAGCCACACCTACAGTGTTCAGGTCTTTCATTTGGTCAAGTTTACAAATAGAACTGATCTCATTATCTGCACAAGGAGAAAGGTTGGAAAAGGAGGAGGTTAGTTGATCCAGAAGAAGCATTCATTTCATGGAAAATAGAAGTTAAGATGAAAACCTTACCATTCAAGATCAGTGCACACAAACTTACAAGAGAATTAAGCCCGTCCACTGATTTAAGCTTGTTTTTTGCAGCATTTAGTACCTGGTATGATTAGGGACAAAAGAAAGTTTTAAACCTAACAGATGACTTATCAAATACTGAAGTTATTCGAAAGGCCTGAAGCATAACTACATTCACAGAACAACTTTCCAGTAAACAAATAATTATGCTGAAAAGGACAAGGAAAGAATGTTAAAGAATCCAATTCATCATTACAGCAAGGTTGATTATGAAAAGAATTATTAGACTCTTAATCAAGAATTCAAACTCACACAGGCCTCAAGGGGCCAGAGTTCAACTCTCCCGGAAATTCAATCATAAACAAATACTAGAATTGGAGAGGGTAGTTCAAATCTCCAATAAAGGGCATATATATCATGGACAGTCCCAGAAACCTTTATTCATTGAACAATGAAGAGACTGAAGTAGTTGAAACTACGCTTCTTCCCACATAAAACAATAAATAACTAAACCTAAGTACCTAACTCAGGGAAACAAACTAAAAGAATAACACAGGAAAAAAACTTAGTTTTGGTTATATTACTTATATATATGACGCTTACAGTAAGTTTAACCAGGCATTCAATCCCTTCCAAACTCTGAAGCTTGTTCTGGGCTACAGATAACCACTTCAAGTTTACGCATGACCTCAACCCCTAAGACCCATTTCACCGAAAAAAAAAAGAGGTCAAATTCTATTTGAAGAAGCACCAGACAAGATTAAATTATAAACGGAAGACGAGGCTAACAAATTACCTCAAGGGAAGTCAGGCTGTTGAAGCTAAGGTCGAGCCTTTGAATGTTCTTAAACGCGTCCAAGCACGATACCTGTTTTTTAAAATAAAACAAATGCGAATGAAGGTTTTCTGAAGTGTAAAGCTGAAAAATGTCAGAAATCGGCTGTTTTGGAGGAAAGTTACGTCGGAGAGAGCCTTCGCGGTGAGGGCTAGAGAAGTAATGGAATCGGAATCGCTGGTGTTGCTCTCTTGCAGCACCTTCTCCGAGCTCAGCACAGCCATGGTCGGAGATTTTCTTAGCCTGTTAGCTGCTGCCCAACTGGATTAGGGTTTTCGTGTGGAAACCTCTGCTTTTTATGAAATAGGAATGCGCCTGCAAATCCTTAATCAGGACAGATAAATGAAAGAACTTATTTTTAGTTAAATAAAACTGCTTACAAACTATGTCACCAGCTTCTATCTGGCGTTGCTGGATGCACTTAAAAGAAGCGTGCTGCACGTCCAGTGTTCGAAGCTGGTATGAGGATGATGATGAATGATGATGATGATGAATTTGTGGTATTTTAAAATACCACTTTTTAATTTCTTATTTTTTCATCTTGCAAGCTATATATCAAAATTTCATTCTATTATTACTTCTTGTAGGCTGTAGCTCTAAATTAATTACCCATTTTCCTTTTTTATCGTTCTCAACATTATTACCAATTTCTTTTAAAGAAAAATGATACTTGGTAGTCCATATTACTTCATTTGTTCTTTAATTATTGCAACAATGTGATTTTTATATCAAAATTTCATTTTATTATTACTTCTCGTAGCTCTAAATTAATTAAATCAACATTGTAATTTTTGCATTATTCACACACCTTACTTTGACCACGATTTTTTGCTAATATACATAATCAAATTATTAGTTATAAAATGTTATTAAATTCCTATTAATGTGTAATACTTGTTTTATGTTTTACTTTCTATAGATGTTTCTCAAACTATTAATAAATCATTGTGTTAATTAGATGGATCTCGTCCGAACTCAATTTGTAAATGATAGTCAAGCAGTAGAAAACTAATAAGAACAACGGAAGTGCAATAATAGCAAGAGTTGGCTGGACAAAAGAATCAGCTCACCTTCTTTGTGACCTCTGCATGAAAAATGTTGAAAGAGTAAGGAAAAATGTTCATATTTAATCGAGTGCATTCATCTCTAAGAAGTTGCATTGGAAGGGCTTTGAGAGTTTTCAAAGCGCGATGGAAAATATATTGCAGTGTAATAAAGTGAAATGTTGTGGACCACATATTTATTTCCAAAAATGGAAATGTGACACTTATTTTGAGATGACCCAAAAAAGAAATGAAGACAGGTAAAATGGGACGAAAGGAGTATAAGTTTTTAAGATATATTATCCTTTATGATGAAGTGGTAATTACTATATCGATCATGGTGACATTAATATTTAATTACATTTTTCATTTTGTTATGGAAATTTTCTCGGTATATTTTTACTTACATCTCCATTTATTAATCAATATCATCATTATAATTAAATTTATTAATTATAAAAAGAGAAGTGTTCCTTTCCCTGTGGATACGAACCTTACTACACCATACTACGTATTAGTGTCATATTGATATTTATTTTGAGTGCACGACAAAGTGCACGTCAGGCGACCAATCCTCTTTCCGGCCATCCCTCATCTTCGTCCGCATAGAGTCTTTGAGCGACGGCTGCAACTACGAAGAATGATGGAGACGACGACTACGCAGAGCAACGGCGACGGCTAAACCTGCCACTGGAACTCCTCTCCTCCTCTCATCTCTTCTTCTCCTTTCTTTTTGTCCGGAAATCGCCGTTGCTCGCTCCTGCGGCACCGACGAGCTTCGTAGATCCAGCGGGGAATTCTAACCCGGCGGCGAGATCTATTGATCCGGGGACATGCTTCGTCGGATTTGGGAGCCACCGACGACTTTGCTGATGGCTACGACAGATTCTCAAGTTGACCCTCAACTGATCTGGAACTCTTGTTCAGTGAGGCTCGTTAGGCTAATGTGGGGCAGGGGTAGTGGCAGAAGGTAGGGAGTTGGTGTATGCGGCGGCGATGGCTGGGTCAGGCAGTGGCAGTAGGTGGCCAGGGTGAGTACGAGTCTGGAGAAAGACACTTTGATGTTGCCGGCGATGGTCATTGTCACCGGCGGCAGGCACTATTGCCGGTGGTGGTCACTCGCCGGCGAGGTCATTGGCCAGCCGGCTGGTCACTATGGTGGGGCAGGGGGCTGGTTGGGCAGGGGGCGGGACTGGATTGGAGTCATTGGACTGCTGGGGTAGCAGCGGGGTTGGTTGGGAAGTTCTGGGCATTGACGAGGCGGCCGGATGTCACTATTGGTTGGTCACCAGGGTCGGGTTGGTCACTGAGATTGGGGTGGTCTGGGGGAGGAGGTTACCGTAGTCAGGATGTCAGTAGAGTTGAGTCACTAAGTGTTGGTAACTGTGGCATTGGTAACTGGCTATAAAGTCACTGTGTCATCGGTCATTGAGAATGTAGTCACTATGACATAGGTCACTGTAATGCATTGGTCAATTAGGTCACTGTAACGCATTGGTCACTGTGGCGGACGAACATTGGTCACTGGATGAGCGGGTGTTGGTAATTCAACGGGTGGACATTGGTCGCTGAGCGGGAGTGAGTGTCTCAATTGATCACTGGACGGAAGTTACTGTGTCAATTGGTCATTGAACGGAAGGAGGTCAGAGTGTAAATTTGTAATTGAGACGTTTGTCATTGAAGCAATAGTAACTGAAATGGTAGTCACTGGAACAGTAGTAACTAGGTCGGGATCACTAGAGTGATTATAACTGGAACAATTTTCACACAACTTTTGGTGTAATAATTTAAATATTTAAGACCATTATGTTCCATATCCAAATATTTATCTTGAGAAATAACATTAAAATAAAAACAAAAACCATTAATTTTAAAAATTGCAATGTTAATTTTGAAAAAAAAAAACGATTGCAATATTAAACTTATCAATATGACGGCATAAATTTATGATGTAGTGCATTGCTAAAAAACGGTTATGCACTTACGGAGTGTATTGCTAAGCACTTGCACTGAGAAATTTTGACGGCTTAAACTTCCGAATGCAGCGATCACGAAGGGCAGTTTAGACATCCAGGTGTTTATTAGTCTGGAAACTAAAAGAAAATCACTTTTTTGTCGATTAGCCTTTTTTTAGTAATATTAATGACAAAACCCCAATAATCAATAATTGAGATTATTAACAACGGACCAATAATAGTTGAAATTATTACAAAATTGTCCAATTTTTTTTTCCTGATAACAGTTGGGAGTATGAGAGTTTCCATCCTTCCCTTCTAAAACAGGATTATTGCAAAGTACATACCCTGTTAGACCATTTGGAGTGGTGTGAGAGTCTAAATGTCAAAAATGGACTCCGTCCATATGAAAACAGTGTTTTAACTCATATTTTCATGAATTCCAGCACTGTCCATAAGATACACTCTACATATTTTTTTACATATCAATTTAGTAAAACATTAATTAAATTATTATAAGTATTTTTTTTCTTTTAATTTATTTCCTGAATAATTATGAAATAAAAACACACATTTCGATTTCTTTTAATTTTATAATAAATTATTAAATAAATTTTATTATTTATGTTTTTAACATTTTTCGGTTAACAAAAAATGAACTTAGTTCATGTAAAGTTTGATTACGGAATATTAAGTTATTTGTGAAGGCCACATGAATTAAAAAATTGTGTTTTGATTTTTCTTGGGCTCATGAAAACTTCAATAGTTGAAATTTCAGATTTTGTTTTCATTTTATATATTGCATATTGGTGTCATCAGGGACGGAGGTATGCATAGTGTAAGGGGGGCCATTGCCCCTCCCAACTTTTCATTCTTTTCTATAATTGTGGTAATAGTGTTCCCATAATCCCCTTTTTGTGCTTTGAATGTTTAATTTCTTATGCTAATTTTTGTTTTCTGGTACTTCAGAATAAGTCATCCACTTAATATACTATTCTATTACATTAAAATGATGGAATATATACAACATATTACTTATGATTAATATATATGGAGTATACGTTTAAATTTAATTATTACTTTATTTCAATTACATTTAATTAAGTAGATAGAATTATTCATCTTATAAAAGAAAGATTTTAAAAAAGTGAACATGTCATTATAATTTTGATTTTTTTAATCGTCCTACAAAATCTTACAAAATATATTCAACTACACAACAAATTTTAATACAATGCATTCCTCTATTTATACGGTACATTTGATAATTTGTTTTTATGTAGTACATTTTGCCCCCCTCCAATAAAATCCTGGCTCCGTCCCTGGGTGTCATATGAAAGAGTATAAAAAGTTATGAATGTTAATATATTTTTTTTCTAAAATTTGATTTTTTTTATGGAACTAAAATTTGATTTATAAAAGACAAATTATAACAATTTCAAAAAAGATGGAGTTTTATTTTCTGGAGCCCACTTGTACCCACCACTCATAATTCCTTTATTTTTGGCAAAGTAGCACTCTCACGTCAATCGGCCAGCTAGAATTGGACTCCCCCTCCCTATCTCCATTTTTAACCTCCTAAAATACTCTCCAATGTAAGAAATTAAGAGTCCAAAATCTCCATTTTTAGCATTTTAGACGCCTAATGCCTTATCACTACAAATGGTCTTACAAATTTGAAAACAAGTGTTTAAGGCATAAGTGCATAACATCACTTTTACCCCAAATTTGTAAGTTTTTTTTGTACTGGTAACTTTGTTCCTCTAAAATATCCTGACCAAACGGATTGCAGGAAGCTACCTCATCGGCCTCCGCATATCACTCCAGCAAATAAGAAGGATTGATACTCCGTATATCGGTAAGTGAAAATGAGTTATGCTTCAGCCATATTTTCACAATTTCTGCAACCGGGATTGTGTCCCTACTCTCCCAGCCGGCGTAGTTTTAGTTCAAGAATCCCAGGGGCTGTTTCTGTCCTCAAATCATATATTCCTGGTACTCCTCTCTTATCGCCCTCATCTTGATTTTCATTTCAATTATAGTATTCATGAATTACAATCCTGGGTTCCTTAACAAATTGTCAATAGTGAGCGGGGTTGATGAAGACTATGTTTTGAGAGACTTCTTGAAGGAGAGAAAGTTGAATGGAGACTTCATAGCTAGAATTTCTGATAAAATTTGGCTAAGAGACGTTGCTAACGTTGAATATACAGAACCTGAGACTGGACCGACAAATAACGTTCAGCTATTGGAGGAGGTAGTGAATATATATAGATACTTGCTTTCAATTTCTGATGTTCTTCAGCGTTTACTAAAGAAACTGTACGGTTAAAACGAAATTGCAGGATTTAGGGGAAGGAAATGAAGGTGGGTTTTTGAAATTTAAGAGCACCAGAGCATGGCTCCTAGGTGAGGCCTCACCACCTGTTAATAAGAAGAGAACCTTTAAGGTATATCAGCAAACTCTTTCCTTCTAAATGGAAAAATAAGATATTTAGGCTCTCTTTGTTTACAGGAATATATTTAGTGATTCTCCTGGGTTTAGGACACTAAGTATTCTCTTTAATTCCTTGGGTATGATTGGATGAAGATAAATGCTAGGAAAAGGGAAAAAATATGCTATGGAAGATTATTTTCTTATGTTCATTTTACCCTGGAAAATACAAAAAAGGTGAAATATGCGACTTTTCTTCTTCAATTACATTTATTAAGATTTCTTAGTCATTATATCGTAGACACTAGACATCAAGAACAAAATGAGTTTCAACAAATAAGGTTTTTATTAGTCCTGGTTTTTATTTCGCACCACATTTTCCTTCCGATTTCTATTGTGTTCTCATTTACATTATCCTTCCAAAGCACTTTCCCGGATCTAAACTGACCCCTGTACTTTTGTGGAAAATGACTCCCGTTTGAGAAATGGAAAATTATTTCCTGAAGCAGCTTTATATTTTCTTCATTGGTCAAACACAATTCTGACCCCAAAATCTTTTGGGAATAAGGCTTGGATGTTGTTGGTCAAACACAATACTATACATAGATCAACTTATTTTCAAGGAAAACATTTTCCATAAAAGAATTCCCGCAGCAAGTTAATAATGTTTCCGGAAACAAATGGAGCCTTAAAAACTGATTTCAGTAGAACTTGTGATCACATATTCACATGTACAGGAGCTACAAGATGATAGTGACAGACGGAAAATGCTGAACTTTCTCAGATATGAAGCTGTATGTTCTCTATGAGACTCACATCTGTCATAAATAGTTGGCTTCTAGTGTCACAATGTCACTGTTCATATAAGGTCTATGAGGTATCTGAGTTGCCTAGTAATTTGACAATTACATTTTTTGTTTGTCTTCACTATTGAAAGATATTTCCGAAACTAAGAAGTTATGCTGAATGATAGTCTTTAAGATGTTTACTATGACTTCAAAGTACTTCATTTTTTCTTCATATAGCCCCGTCTCATTGTTTCTTCAGCTGTATCCATGTTTTCTTCACTACTGAAATGGATTCAAGAAACTAAGATCTTGTTTGGTTGTAGAGTTTTGGAGGGGAGAGAGGAAAGTGAACGGGAGTGGTGTGTGTTTGGTAGGAAGAGTCAGGGGGGAAGGAAAGGAAAGTGGAGAAGCTATAGAATCCTCCATACTCCTCAATCCTCAATATATCACTCTCCCATTTTGGGGATTTTTTTTTCTTAGCATATTGGACCTATTTTTACCAGAATTATTCTACATTATTATCCTGATTCTAATGCATGTAGATTGTTACAACATGTAGATCGGTACATATATATTCATACATCCATTCTGATTCTATGTATATATATATAATGTATGTACATATATGATATGTATATATATAAAGAATATGTTTATAGAATAGAGATCAAATACAAAGCCTTCTTAATTTACAAAGTACAAACTCATCTTGACCGTCCGATGAGTTGATCCAAAGGACATAAAGGCAAGGTGGCATTTTTGTAATAAAACCCAACTTTTTAGGGTGCAACTCGTTGCACCTTTATGTGCAACTGTTATTTTTATGACTTTATAATGTGCAATACTTTGAACCTCAATATGCAATGCAAATAACGTCAAGGTGCATCGTACAAATATTTGCACAATAAGCACACTTTGTACTTGATCTTTCCCCTATGTTTATATCAGGTCCCTCCGGAGGGACGGGAGGGACCGTCCGTCCAAGGCCATCAGAGGCCCTTCCCGGTGGAATTTTTTGATGAAATTTTTTGAGCATGTTCCTTATCACATCTAGTTTATTCATACCAAATTTCAGCTAAAAATTCAACCGGGAAGGCACTCAAATGATTTTTGGAAGATAACTGCGTTTTATATGTATATAAACTGCGCGTGTAACTTCTAAAAATCATTTGACTGCCTTCCCGGTTGAATTTTTAGCTGAAATTTGGTATGGATAAACTAGACTTCATGAAGAACATGCTCAAAAAATTTCAGCAAAAAATTCCACCGGGAAGGGCCCCAAATGGCGACGGCCAGACGGCGGGTCCTGTACCTCCGGCTGGACAGTATCAGGCCTCTATATATATTATGTGTATATGTACCATAAAATAATTTAAAACATTCATATACACATACAGTAATTTTACATATTTTTCCAAAATATCATATTTTTCAAATATTCCTCCCCCCTCACTCATTGAACAAAGCATCATATATGTAACCATTCCCCCCAACATGAACCAAACAAGGGCTAAAGAATGTAGTCTGAATGATAGACTTTAAAATGCTTAAAATGTCAGTAGAAAAGCAGTGTATACTAGTCCTTAATTTCCTATATTGCAGCAAAGCACCCTTCCTAAGTTTTTTCTTCATGTAGTAACCTTACAGCTTGAAGATCTCGCATTTTATTGTATTTGATTGATTTTAACTTGTTTTCCTTATTTAATAGATAATCCTAACATTACTATGCTCAGTCCTTCACTTCCTTGATACATTCATGATCTTAAACTCTTACTCCGTATTATTCTGCATATGATATATCCTTAACTTATTGTATCTGGTCAGTGGTCATCCTGAGAAAATTTTGTAAACTTTACCTTCGCATGCTCTGTGTTATAAGTTACAACTTTAACATAGAGTTTAAGGTAATTCAGATAGCCCTGTACATTCAGATGCATAATGCTGAATTTCTAAATCCAACCTCAAAAGCAAAAGAGGGGGAAAAAGGGACGGACATCTGCAAGTTCTTCAATACACATTTGCTAAATATTGTTTTGAGTTTATTAGTTTAAAAATCCAACCTTCAAAGCTTCTTGAACATCTACAGAGTTGTGAATAAGGGGTTTCATGTTTTGAATTTCGGTTATTAGCTGAAGAGGGACTTGCTATTTTTAACTGTCAGCATTGGGACTGCTTGTGGTGGATATTGCCTCCTAGCTTTTTCACCAGAGGTAATTCTCTACAGTCATTGTATAATTATCTGCAACAGAACTTCCGCTTTCAATATCCAAATGACTATCTGGCCTTATTTTGTGGAATATCAAAATAAAGAAACTCAAACTTGAATATCTGAAATTTGCAAAGATGTTGTCTCAATAACAAAGGATGAGACTCCATGTGACAAGAATAAATTAATTCCAATTTAACAAATATGTGGATAGCTAAGCACAAGGTCTCTCTAATTTTACATGTATAAGGTGTGCCCAAGCACAAGAAGTACATTTTGTGCATTATAGCACCCTAAAATCCCACAAAACATACCAATACAAACCCAGCTTTATGAAGTATTTAACTAATAAAAGAACCCTTATAGCCATTGCTGGCTGTTCAGTGTTTGAGTAGTGGGATTGGAATAGGCGGTCAAATTTTTTCAATTGTGTTTCATGGTCAAATTGTTCCAATTGTGTTTCATCCAAATGGCCCGCTTGGAGAGCAGTTGGCGTTGGACCACTCAAACTGCGCTGTCAAATGCACACTTATGTTATTTTTAGAGATAAAACTGTTGAATTCTGAGAGTTACTTATCCAACTAATAACTGGTGTTGGTTGCTCATTACAGGCTGCTCTAAGCTACACAACAGGAGTGTTTTTCAGGTTCAGTCTGACACGTATTTGCTCAAAACTGTTCTGCGAATCAAATTGCCTTTGAATGATCTCGGCTTAGCAAGTGACTAAACTAATTAGAGGCAAAGCTAATATGATTTGCCACTGGCCACTGGCAAATTCACAACATATATTAGTGATAGTAAGAAAAGAACAAATATACCCCTGGTTTGTGCATATGAGAACATTTATACCCATGAACTTTTTCGAGGAACAGTTGATCACAGAAAGTGTAAATGTGGAACATATATACTCTTGGATTGAAAACGAAAATAATTACATATTTATAACTAAGTTAAAGGTTGTTTACAAAAATGTGACCTCGTAAGTGTAGTGAATTACAATAGTAACTTTAGTCAAGTAACTTATGTTCAATTTTTAGAGTTGAGCTACCACGACATTATATTATAGTAACTTTCAGTCATATTTTTGTAAATAAATTTTATTTCAGTAATATTTAAAAAAAAACTCTTAAAAAGCGAAATAACTTAAAAAAAGTTAGGTACGCCATTCCAATTTTTTTAAAGTAAAGAAGAATGAATAAACACATATAACTTCTACAAAGATAACGTTTTTAGACAAGGGTAATCAATGCTCCATACTTTATGTGTTTAATTGTTCCCAAAAAAAGTCAGAATGCCAGATATATTTGTTTGTTGAGTTATATCGGGTTATATTTGTTCCATATCCCATTATTCAAAAGATTGAACATGAGTACATGTCTTGAACATGGTCAGTTTCTGAAACTAGATTTCTTTATCCCCCCATGCGCTGGCAGTCTGGCACGCAGAAAAGGGAGAAAAAGATACTAAATTATGATGGTCTCCATATTTCTCATCTATGGATTGCTAATTAATGATTTTGAATGAATGTATTATGTATATATCTACAGTTGCATGTACTTACAACTGCTATGCCGGCATGTGGATATGCTCACAAGGGAAATGGTTCCAGAAATATTCATGAAAAAGAAAGAGAAGAAGTACTTTTAAATCCATAAACAATTTCATCGATTTTCAGTTTATTGTATGGGAGTGACCTTTTTTTTAACTTTTGCACGTCTCTGGACTAATTTCCTTACAGAATTGGAATTAGAAGTCAAGACTTTAAGGATTTGTTTGAGAGAACAGTTAAGGGTAGTGGCATTGCTCTTTCATCCACCAGACTTGTTATTCCTGCAGCAATATATGGATTATGGGAGTTATCTCAGCATTCTAACCACGTTCTTTTTGACTTCCAGGTATACTGTGGCAACATTCTACTATCTTGACTTAAATAAGTCTTTTGTAAAAGTCCCAAATTTATTGACTATTTTGTTGACGTTGTGATCTACTCAGCTGGTGCCTGCAGTTTTAGGGCTATTCGTGTACAAAGCTGCTGCTCTAGTGCAAGTCTACAGAGACAATGATGACCTTCAATTTGTTTTTCCGGAGAACGAAGAAGTGTCTGACAACTGAGGAAGATGTTCATTGGCATTTGCTCTTTTCATGGTATTAGACGTTTTCTAGTTCCACCTGATGGGTTTAGACTAAGAGGCCTGACTAACCAATGCGCATCTGAGTTGAGGTTGAGCCCATTGCTCAGCCTTGGGAATAGCCCTTAATGACCGATGTTGAGCCCAGCTCTCGTCCTATGAAGAGACTGTTGCTTGCTTTCTATTCACAATGTCTGGGTATTCATTCTGGCAATGATTCGGGCATTCTGCTTGACGCACACCAGTCTCGGCGTGTCATTATGCATGAATTAGTGCAAGAATAATATGAAGGTAGTCACTGACTTTCTTTTTTTTACTAATGCAAACATTGATGGTGAGCCATTTGAAGACTTTCTTGTGGTTAACTACTGTGAGTTGTGACTGGTTTCATCTGTAAATTTCATTCATTATCCGGCTACTTCGTAATTTGCAACTTATAAAAATTCCGGAGATGGCACCTTATGATTTAAGGAATTGAGAAGATCATTTTGGGATGGTTAAAAAAGGAAAGCAGGAAGATCTAAGCGGGACGGAGGGAGTATATTGTTGGTATTTTAATAGGTTCACATGTTAATATTAAAATGTTTTAACTTGGATTTATTTCAGTTCCAGATCAGACTAGAATAGATCAGACTAGATCATAAAAATCCAGTTCAATTATAAGCATCTCACCCATTGCCGAGTTGGTATTGCAAGAGAGTGTTATTATATAGATGGGGAACGATTGTTCGAATCCTAGTCAAGTCGGTATTTGTTTTTATAAAATTTATAAAATTTTGTTATGTTTTTTGAATTGTATATGTTCTCACACCAGAAGGTCCAGAACAAGATGACAATTCCTCTTCACGGGCGCAAGCCGCGCAACAACTCCAACAAGAACGATATATTGGACTGAATCAGCATAAACTTTATTTTGGAAATTTGTTTACGTGAAAATTTTACCCTAATAATCTAAAAAAATAGAAATTCAGGGTGGGCTGGACCCTAGCTACGTTCTTGAAATTTGGTTGATGATTCTAATTTTTTTTTAGGTAATGAATTGAACTGATATATGAACCAATGTAACCATTTTATATTAAGTTTTTATGGTCCAATAATATTTGTGACCCTTTTGGTATTTTTTTCACATAATACTGTAGTTACTAGTTATCCTTTCCATTTAATTAATGTTCTCAAACATGCCACATAAACCCCGGGAAATTTTATGGAGCCCTATATGACTCCATTATGGAGTCATATCAAGGTTGTTAAAATCGTATTTTTGAATCGAATCGGTAGATGTTTTTGAAAATCGAATCGTAAAATCGAATCGCAAATCGTAAGATTTTATCAAACATATTTTAATAATTATAAAATAAATAAATATTAAAATTAAGTTGCAAGTTAATGGTATTATGTCATTTTATTACATACCACTATACCTACAAGGTCAAAAACAAGATTTATAAACTATTTTTATATTGTAAATAGAGTGGATAATAACAATAAACATATGTAAAACATAAAAATAATTAAATAACACAAGAATCCATTACTTTTTTTAAATATACCATTGATGTTATTATTATTGAAATTTTGTATCAATTTGTAGTAGTTAATTTTAATAAATTTGAACCATTTTCACTAAAAAAAAACTTATTCCGATTTTGCTACGATTTTGATACGATTTTATACGATTCTACACGATTTTTGTACGATTTTATTACGATTTTGTATGATTTTATGATTTTACGATTTTACCTGCGATTTGAATCGATTTATTATTGTAGAATCGTAAAATCGTACGATTTTACGATTTAAATCGAGATTTTAACAACCTTGAGTCATATAGCACATGTGACATTATCATAATCATTCATTCATGAAATAGGGTCCTCCACTATAAATGAACTATCGAAATGAATGGTTGTGATAATGTCACATGCGCTATATGACCCCATAGTGGAGTAGGGCTCCATAAAATTTTTGCATAACCCCCCCCATTTCATTTATTAAAATGTGAGAGGAAAAATATTTTTTCCGGTCCTGCCTTCAATATATTATCCCAAACTAAACAGTAAACACTATCTTTAAGTTTAAAGGGTTGGAGTTAGAGATGGCAATGGGGCGGGGGTTCACTCCCCCATCCCCGCCCCGTGTCTAAAAAATCACTCCCACCCCCGCCCCATCCCCCACTACTATTCGACCCGCCCGACCCGCTAGACCCACGGGTACCCAACGGGGGAAGTACTCGTCAAAAATTAACATCATTTTAGACTTTGACAATTTTTCAAAAATTAAACAATGCTTCTAGTAGCAAAAAAAAACATTTACTTTTTAAGTGTCAATGCAATCTTACATCCCATTACAAATCTAGAACACATTATACGCGTTCTAATTTAGTCATTTTTATCAAACTCTAAATTAGCATTGATTAGATCTATAATATTTTCTTAAACCTTGCATTCAATCAATCATGGTCATTTGACGGCTTCTAGGATGACCTATGAATCCTATGATCACCAAATTTTAAGAGCCCTAACTACAATCATAAAGATGACATTCAAAAGAAAAGAATTAATGCATTGTGTTGAGGTTTATTCCTTCAACCCTCGGGCCCAACACGTAAGCCCAAGGATTTCGAGTGGAGTGAGTGTATGGATATCTAGCCCAACAAGCAGATGATATGGATTATAGAGAACAAGAAGTAGCAAGTAAATGATTAGGTATTATTATCTCTTAATAACTCCCTAATACAATACTTTTTGCTAAAGGCTCCGTCGGCCGTTCGTCTTACAAGGCAGTAGAAGCGCTGCGAGTAAGAATGCTATAGCTAGAGTGCTAAGAATAGAAAGTTGTCAACCCTTTACAATGAAATAAATGCTTCTATTTATACCCGCCAATGGGCAGGTGGCTATGCTGACGTGGAGGCCTGTGGACCGCTTGTGCCCCAACCACCAAATCTTCTGCATTAAATGCACTTCCCGCCAGAATCTAGGTTTCCCGCCTAAATAATGGGCACGTTCGTCCGCCAGGGAAGCGAGCTGGATCGCCCCAAGTGATCCCCAAGAGGTTCCGGCTGTTCGTCTCCTGGCCTCGTGGGTTTTCTTCATGTGGACTGGACTTCCTCGGATGACTACAGACTCGCCATGGGGACGTTCGTTGTCATCCGCTGGGCCTGAGCTCCCAATCCCAGACGTTCGTCCCTTCCCAAGGAATGTGGTCCTGCGGGCTGGTGTTGAGGTTTGACTGGACGTACGTCTGGTGAAGGAAGGGTTAGTGGGCCGGACCTCGGCTTGGGCCCTTAACCCAACACAAGTCCCCCACTTCTGATGTTCTGAGCATGCGCAGGACATAAGGAAGTATGAATCTCCTCAAAGTAGACGTTCGTGCCTTGATACTTGTGTGTATCGCATCCAGTGGAAGCGTACGCTCGTGGTCATGGTGCTTAACAGCTGTCGACGGTTCAGGAAACGAGGTGACGGCTGCTGTAGCGGCGGTGCATTTTCCAAGGAGATGTCATCATTACGCCTTCGCCCCACGCACGGCGCGTGAGGCGGAATACGCTCCCTGCCACGCGTCAGCCTCCCGTTGGCTCCCCCACCGGTGTTTCTCCTATAAATGCCGGTTTTTCCCTCTGGGTTAGGGTTCCCAATTTCTGCTCTCTTGTCTTCGAATTCCCGCAGCTCTTCAAGTCTTCTCCCGCTTCCAAGTTCGGCTAATCCTTCTAAGGTAATTCTCATCTTCTACTTCTTTTTCTTGTCTTGAATTCTTGCTGCTATGGTTTCGATGGAGATCTCGTCAAGTTCCGGCTCGGGTTCATCGGGTTCCTCCTCGGGCTCCTCTTCCGACTCCGGTTCGCGCTCTTCGGGCGAGACCAGCACTTCCGGTAGTTCCGGCTCGGCCCCTACCGTGGGAACTGTTCAGGCCGGGGAGGCCCAAAATGTGGTTACTGTGACGGTCTCTGGTGAAGAAGGTGCTGATTTGGGGGAACAAGGGGATATGGCCCTTGACGTAGTGGACCCCGTGGCTGATGCCGGGGAACAGGAGCCCGCTGGTGAGGACGAGCGTCCAGATGGGTATGACTCTGGGGTTGAGGCTCTGGACGGCTCCGACATCGAAGTATTCGAACTTGGGCTGAAGATAGATGTGGAGAGGCATCTGTGCCCGATCAAGAATGTCTTGTGCCATGAGCAGATCTTCTCGCAGGTGGCCCTCAACAAATTGAAGGTGTTCTTCCCCCCTCCGTCCGTATACAGCTTGCGTGGTGCAACCCACGTGATGAGGAGACGTCCAGGGATGGTTATGGTGCTCCTGGATTCCATCGAGGCTGGGCTGCGCTTCCCTCTTCATCCGTTCTTCGTGGAATTCTTCTGTTGTTACCAGATAGCCCCCGCACAGCTCATGCCGAACTCCTATCGGTTCGTCTCCGCCTTCCTAGTCCGCTGCAGGGACAGTGGGGTCACCGCCACTTTGGACTTGTTCCATTACTTCTACCGGCTCACCCCCCAAAATTCTGACGGTTTCCTGAGCATTGCAGCTCGTCCCAAACGGAGGCTGTTCAGCGGAGCACCGACTTCCATCCATGACTGGAAGAACCGGTTCTTCTTCGTGCGGTACGCGGATGCTCGTCTGCCATTGCGTTGGAACGGCTATCCGCCCAAGATAGGATCTCCGGAACTGACCAACGACCTGCAGGAGGACATCAAAAAGATCTCGACGGGCGGCATCCGGCCCTTAGATGACTTCTTAACTTTCGAGGTGCTCGGCCTGGGAGGCAGGAATAGGTACCGCCCATGCTCTTGGACATCTCCCCTTCTACGCTCGTCTCGGGGTATTGGGCGGTCCTCTCCTCCGAGGTGAGTTTTTTCTGACGCTCGTCCATCTAACCCATTTCCCTTGTCTCTTTCAGGTCTTCCCCCAACCCCGGAGCAGATGAATCACGAAAAGCTCCTCAGGACGAGGAAAGGTAAAGGTGCTGCCGCCGATGCTGCCCTTGCAAAAGCCAAAACCGTCCAGGCAGCTGACTCCAATTCTTCCGCCTCCCAGGCCGATCGTCGCACCGTGGAGGCGGAGCAGCACCTCATTGCCACGGTGATGGCACAGGGGTCCCAGGCCCCAGTCCTTGACTCTGGCATCCCCGAGGTCGTGGCGCCTCTGCAAGCCGTCCATCCTCAGGAGGGGGAGAGAGCGGACAAGAAGTCCAAACGGCCCAGGGGAACCGGTTCTTCGGCCCCTGAAGGGCAAGGGGTGATCCTCCCCTCTCTCGGACGTCCGGCGCATGACGTTTGGCAGGAGGTTGCCTCTCTGGCCGGCGTGGAGATGCCTCCCCGCACGTCTTCGGAAGCTTCTAATGCGGCCCTGGCTGCCGCCCTTCAGGTAAGATCTCGCTCCGCACATGCTGCCTGATCATTTCATTCTAATGTTTTTGAAGTCTCACCTCCCGTACTTGATTTGCAGGTCGGGCTCTTCGTTCTGCAGTCTGAGGCTGCCCGAGAGGCCGAGGTCCTCCAGGCGAGGAATAAAGCAGATGTTGTCCTGAAGAAGGCGAGAGAGGCCGCTCGTCTGCATGAGAAGGAGCTGGCCGCCAAGGACAAGGAGCTGCAGGCCGCCCTGTCGGTAGCCCGCGAGTCCTCTGCGAAGCTCGCAGCTCTGGAGAGGGCCGGTTTCAAGCTCGTCCCGGCTCTTCCCGCCCCCAAGGATGAGGCACCCGAATGGCTCGTCGACGCCTCTGGGTATCACAACTCCGGGGCCTTCATGATCGCCGCCCAGAAGTACCTTGGGGGCGCTTTTGGTGATGTGT